TGAGTTGGCCAATATAATGCACTCTATATCTCTCCAAAATCGACAGGCAGATCGGCACCAAATAGATTTGGAGGAGGCTCAAGCGACAATCACTAGGCTTTTGAAGGACCAGAAGGCTTCTGAAGAGAAGATAGCATCACTTGAGGCAAAGGATAAGAAGTCTCAGGCTCTTATAGCTGAGAAGGAGGCTGCTTTGTCTGGCACAGAACCTTCGAAAGTTATTGAAGATTTTAAGAAGTTCATAACTTTCAAGACTATTATTCAGGATCACATTCAGGAGGCTCAAGATCATGTCTACGATATAGAAGTGAAGGGTTTGGAGCAGCAGTGTACTGAGGATGGATTCATTCAGGGCTTCTTTAAGGGGGTTCGCCTGATGCAGCGAAAGACCGGAGTTCAAGTTGAAGGGGTGACCCCTAGCAAAGCATGAGATGACTTTCCTTCAGGTTCTGATGGTGATGAGGAAGAGAGTGATTTTCAAAAGGTCCTGGATCTTGATGTGGATGATGAGATTGTAGATGTTGAGTAGGATTTTTAGTTCTTGCTGTTTGTATTGATTTATCTTTTTTAGCGATTGTGATGTACCTAATATTTCTGTTATTGTGTGATGTCTACTTTGATTTAGTAGTGGATTGTTGATCTATTTTTATATGACTTAAACATTTTAGTGTATTTATGCAACCTGAGTGAATTTTATTTATGCTTTCTTATAGTTTTTGCCTTCAAACTTGTATGGAGAGGTTTAAGAGGATCTACCAAGTATGTGTGACTTATTTAAGGTTGTACTCCATAGCCTTGCTTGATGATGCCAACCTGTATGAAAGAGATTGAAAGCATCCACTAAGGATGTAGGACCTATCTGAGGTTGAACGTCAGAGCCCTGCTCGATGACGCTAACCTGTGTGGAAGAGGTCGGGAGAATCCACCAAGGATGTAAGACCTATCCAAGGCTGTATGTCAGAGCCATGTTCAATGATGCTAACCTGTGTGGAAGAGGTCGGGAGAATCCACCAAGGATGTAAGATCTATCCGAGGTTGTATGTCAGAGCCCTGCTCGACGACGTTAACCTATGTGGAAGAGATCGAGAGAATCCACTAAGGATGTAAGATCTATCCGAGATTGTATGTCAGAGCCCTGCTCGATGACGTTAACCTGTGTGGAAGAGATTGTACCGAATTCCCCTAGGATTGATCATCTTGTGACAGAGCTACAATAACGATTATGTGTTGCTCGAATCAAGGATATTGAAGTTCACAGCTTGTGCGAATTTATTAATACAATTTTATTTGAAGGAGATAGAGAAATAAAGTCTTACTGTATTAAACAAAAGCATAGCTCTCTACGACAGCTTAGAGAAGAAATAAGCTACAAAAACCACAAACAACATTCAAAATTAAAGACAAACAGTACTGAAGTCACACAATACTAAAGACATACGGTACTTAAAACAAGCAACACTATTGCGCTCTACTGATAGTACTTGTGAAAAATGTCTATGTTCCAGGTTCGAGGAAGCATTCTTTCCTCAGCATCCTTCAATTTGAAAGTTCTGGGCTTTACCAAAGCTGCTACTAGGTACGGGCCTTCCCAGAGGGGGGAGAGTTTATTTCGTTGAGGGCCTTTGCTTGCTGCCTCAGTGCTGCGAAGGACCAGATCTCCAACCGATATGTGTCGCGGCTTCATCCTTCAGTTATAGTGACGGGCAACTCTCTGGTGATATGTAGCAACCTTAAGCATCGCCTCGTCTCTTGCTTCTGGAAGGAGGTCTAGGTTGTGCCTGAGTTTTTTGTTATTGGCATTGAAGTCAAAAGTTTGAACTCTATGACTTGGGACTCCAATGTCGACGGGAATAACAGCCTCTGTGCCAAAGTAGAGGTTATATGGCATTTCTCCAGTTGGAATTCTTGTCGTAGTACGATAGGCCCAAAGGACATTTGGGAGCTCGTCAGCCCATTGCCCCACAGCCTTATCCAGTCGTATCTTCAATCCTCTCAGAATGGTTCAATTAGTGACCTCTGTCTGTCCATTAGTCTGAGGATGGGCCATAGCCGTGTGTACTAGTTGAATGTGGAGTTCTTTACAAAAAGTGGTGAAGACCCTTCCGGTGAAATATGTTCCGTTATCGGTGATAACTTTTGCTGGAATGCCAAAGCGACATATTATGTTCCTCCATAAAAACTGTTTGGCATTTGCTTCAGTGATCTTGGCCAGAGGTTCTGCTTCTACCCACTTTATGAAATAGTCCACAGCCAAGATGATGAACTTCCGATGTCCCGTGGCTATAGGAAAGGTCCTATTATGTCAATCCCCCATTGGGCGAAAGGCCAGGGACTCTATAATGTTGAGATCTCTATGGCAGGTAGATGAATGAGGTTGGCATGTAACTAGCAACTGTTACATTTTCGTACGAGCTCTAATGCATCCTGCTTTATGGTTGGCCAGTAAAATCCCTGTCTCAGGATCTTTTGGGCTAGCGCCCTTCCACCCAGATGTTCCCCACAAATGTCTGAATGTACTTCTCGGAGTGTATAGTTCACCTCTGAAGGAGGAAGACATTTATGGTATGGCCCTATGAAAGACCATTTGTATAATTCTCCATTAATAATGGTAAATTTTGCTGCCTGTCTCTGGAGTCGTACCGCCATTGTTGGGTCTTCAGGAAGAATACCCTCTTGTAGGAAAGTGAGAATGGGGTCGATCCAAGAAGCTTCTTTTGATTCATCTATTGATTGAATCACCCATGGGCCTTGCACGCTCGGGAAATGGATCTCCTCAATGTGCTTTCTTTTGAAAACGTCTCCTGTCGTAGAAGTGGCCAGTTTAGAGAGAGAGTCTGCCCTTGCGTTCTGCTCCCGAAGGATATGGATGATCTGATGCTTCGTTATTTGGGCCAATAAGAATTTAACTATCTGGCAATACTGGGTCAACAATGGATGGTGAGCATCAAACTCCCATTCTACCTGAGAGGCGACCAATTGGGAATCAGTGTGAATCACTAAGTCCTGTACTTCGCAACTGATTCAGCGACGTTGTTTGTTGCTGAGAATTTTAGTCTAAGCCCGTATTCGAGTGTAGCTTTCTATATGGAGATCAATTAGATTACAGCGCCAGCACCAGAACTCCCAGAAGCTCCGTCAACATATAATGTCCAGCAGGAGGAGGAAGGAGACACATCAAATGATTCATTGGAGGTGTGGTTAGTGCATTCGACCTTAAAATCAGCATGCACTTGTGACTTGATATCGGGTCTAGGTAGGAACTGTATATCAAATTCTCCAAGCTCTACTGACCATTTGATCAACCTTCCAGATGCCGCGGACTTTTGGAGAATACTTTCCAACTGTAGGTTTGTATAAACCCTGATTGCGTGTGCTTGGAAATAAGGCGTAACTTTCTTGCTGAGGAGACTAATGCCAAGGCTATCTTATCTGCTAATGGATAACGTGTCTCAGTCTCTGAAAGTACCTTGCTAATATAATAGACTTGGCGTTGAACAGTATCATTTACCCGAACCAAGACCGAGCTTATAGCCTGGGAGGAGACGACCATATACATATACAAAATTTCCCCTAGAACTAGCTTCGAGAGTAGTGGCGACGAGGCTAGATAAGCTCAGAGTTATTCGAAAGCCTCTTGGCATTTATCGGTCCACGGAAACCCTGAGCTATGCGCACCTCTGAGAACCTTAAAGAAAGGCAAATATTTGTCTCCTGAGCGAGCTAGGAATCGAGAGAGTGCCGCAATCCTTCCATTCAATCTCTGGACTTGTTTGATATTTCTTGAGGGTATCATGTCCCTTAGGGCCTTGATCTTCTCCGGGTTTGCCTCAATTCCTCGGTGGGTAACCATGAACCCCAAAAAATTTCCTGAGGCTACTCCAAATGCACATTTGGAGGGATTGAGGCGCATGTTGTAAGATCGAAGGAGGCAGAAGAATAGCTTCAAGTCCGAGATATTCTGGGACTTCTCGAGGCTCTTTACCAGAATGTCATCCACATATAATTCCATAGTATGCCCGATAAGGTTCTTAAAAATCCTATTCATCAGGCGTTGATATGTTGCCCCGGCATTCTTAAGCCTGAATGGCATTACTAGGTAATAGTATAACCCCTAAATCTGTTTGAAAAGCTGTTGCCTCCTCATCAGCAGGATCCATTTGTATTTGATTCTATCCATAATAAGTATCCATAAAGCTTAGCATCTGATGTCTGGAGGTGGCATCAACTAGCTGGTCGATATGAGGAAGCGGGAAACTATCCTTGGGCCAGGCTTTGTTGAGATCAGTGTAGTCTACACACATTCTCCAAGCTCCACTTGTCTTTCGTACCATCACGATGTTGGCCAACCAAGCGGGATAATGTACCTACCTTATAAATCTTGTGTTTAAAAGCTTATCAACCTCTTGCTCGATTTCCAGCTGACGTTCTAGTGCAAAGTTTCATTTATTTTGGATCACTGGTTTACATGCTGGGTTGATCTTGAAAGAGTGCGTGATTACTTCAGGATTGATGCCGGGCATATCAACTGAACTCCATGCAAACACATCTTGGTTTATACGTAGAAAGTCTACGTACTCTTTTTTCTCTGCATCTGAGAGGAGTGATCCGATCTGTACTATTCTCGAAGGGTGCTCATCTGATAGAGAGACACAAATAAGATATTCTATAGGGGAGGCCCTTTGAGGAGTATCTTCATTTCGAAGATCGAAGTCATCGATGCTCAAAGTAACTTATGAGCGTGGTTGAGCCTTCCTAAGATAGCAGGATTGGGCTACTTGTTGATCTCCACGTACGGTCCTGATCCCTGATGGGGTAGGAAACTTTAGCTTTAAGTGGGGAATTGAAGCAATAGCACCGAAGATTTTTTGGAGTGGCCTTCCAAAGATTGCATTATAGGCTGATTCAGATTTCACTACAATGAACTGAATAGGATGTTCAACTTGACGGGGGAATTCTCCAAGTATGACCGGGAGACTGATGGTTCCTTCCACTTTTACAGGTCAGTTATCAAATTCGTATAGTGGATCGGCAGCGGGTAGGAGTTTCTCTCTGGACAGGCCCATATTAAGAAAAGTTGAGTAGAATAAAACATCTACTGATCTCCCATTGTCGACCAATATCCTTTTAACATTATAGCATGGGTCGCCTATTCCTGCGCTAATCACCAGTGGATCTTTATAAGGAGTCTTTATGCCTTCTAGATCAGACTCTTCAAAGGTGATGGAGTGATCGGCATGAAGTTTCTTTGTAGGTAGCTCTTTGTTCTCTGCCATCAAAACTTGACAAGGCGTTGAAGGGCCCCCAGCAATGGTTTCAATTTCGCCCACTATTTGGCGATTGTTTGCTGATTATTTTTGTTGCTGATTTTTCCCCCCAGTCGGACCAACCTCTTCTCGGGCTGTTGAATTCTTGGTGAATGGTCGGAGGTATCCTTGTCGGATCAGTCTCTCAATTTCTCCCTTTAGCTGTCTGCATGCTTCAGTAGTGTGTCCATGACTGCGATGGAAGTGGCAATATTGCTCTTGGTTTCTGACATTGGGCTTCAAAGGGTATGGCCACTTCACACTCTCCTGATCTCGGATGGCCATCAATACATTCGCTCGGGATGTATTAAGTGGCGTGTACTCTTTTTATTGGCGGGGCTCTCATCGTGGCTGTGAGGGTCGAGGAGGAAGATTGTAGTTTCCTTGCTTCTTCCTTTGTGATGGGGGGTTCTCCATCCCTGGGGGATTTTTACGCTTCCCGGTTGTCTGCTCAAATTGCTTCCTATGAGCATTGATGGCTTCATCGGCAGTAATTTGGGCCTCTACTTGATGGATTAGATCCGCATATGAGTGGACCGTTTCTCGCATGAGTGCCGAGTAGAAGGGGCTCAGGCGAAGCCCTCCAAGAAATACACCTCTAAGAAATTCGGGATCTACCCCTGGAATTTGTTGGGCTTCTGTGGAAAACCTTTGAAAGTACTCTTTAAGAGAATCACCCTCGTTCTGACGTATCTTTGAATGGTGGGAGGAATCCTTAACCATCCTTCGGTTGGAGACAAATTATTCAACAAATAACTTGGCCAATTTAATAAATAATGGGATGGATCGGGCAGGCAGTGAGTAGAACCACGTCTGGGCCTTCCCTTTAAGGGTGGCAGGAAAAACTTGGCAGAGTTAAGCATCTGGGGCTCGCTGGATATGCATAATGGTGTGGTAGTGATCGATATGCTCGTAGGGGTCTAAAGTCCCATCGTAAGAATCAATATTCAGGAGTTTGAATCTTGCCGGAATGGGATATCTAAGGATAGCTCTGTGAAAGGTGATGACTCCTGAATGTCTCGTTGATGAAGAGATTGCCTTATATCCCCTGTGGGGAACCCTTCTCGGTCTAGTCTCCGTAATTCATGCCGTAGGGTATTACGGGGGTGTTCAGTGATGTGCTGTTGGTCCAAGTCCTCGGGAACGTCCTGAGGAATATGATGTCGATGGCCTGTGCGCGAAGGATGGGTAGAGCTTGCTGTGTCAGCAAGCTCATTCTCTGGATGTGTAGGAGGGTGCATCCTTGGCGGAGGAAGGGGGACTTTGACATGAAGAATGTCTTTGAATCCTGGCTGGTCTCAAGGGAGAAGAGTATCTTCTTGGGGAACTAGTGCTGGTGCTTGAGCTTCCCTTAAGAGTTGAAGGATCTCATTCTGAGATTCCTCCATCTTTCTGATACGCTCTTCTAGGGATGGCCCTGAAGTTCCTTCTCCTGCAGGGTGTAGGCCACAGGGGTGAAAGGAGATAGATGCTTGTCATCCCCGATTCAGTGACTGATTTCCAGATTGATGTGAATTAGAGCGAGATGCTCCCATGATGCGATGGCTATGCCTATTAGCCATTGAAGGAGTACTTCGTGTAGTTCGTGTAGTGGGATTGAGCATTCCCACAGACGACGCCAACTGTTGCAGGCTTGAATATACGCGGCGATAGAGTTTTAATTATATGTCTTAGCTTTGCATGGATATCCAGTACACACACACACATAAGACAAGACTTTTTTGTGTGGAAAACCCTTTAAAGGGAAAAAACTATGGGGCCTAGCCCAGTTGAAAATGATTCCACTATAATTTGAGTCGGTTACAAAGGAACTGAATCCCCTCAAAGGGCGATCAGATTTATAATTAGTAACTGTTCGATAGGAGTCAGGTGTTATACCCGATGTCACTTGGAAGTTCGGGCATTGATAGACTGATCTTGAGTAGAACGTAGGGCCTTCAGCAGGACGTCGGGCCTTAAGCAGGATGTCGGGTCTGAACATAGGACCTTGAGGTGGTGGTGCAACGAAGCTCCGGCGGTGGTCCGACGAGGTTTTGGCGGTGGTCCGGCGAGGTTCCTGCGGTGGTCCGGTAAGGCTCCTACGGTGGTCCGGCGATGTTCCGGCAGTGGTCCGGCGATGTTCCAGTGGCGGTCTAGGAGGAGCTTCTTCCTTCTCTTCTTCCTTCTCTTCTCTTCTTCTCTTCTTACTTTGGTCCTCTTGTGAAGAATGAGGATTCTATTTATAGATTTTCTGGGGTGGCATAGCTCGTAAATAGGCGTGAGATCATGGGCGAATAGGAGTGGTTGAATGGACGGCCGATGTTGAATCCTATGATCGTGCATCGTTCGTTGGACATTTGAAGGTGTTAATGATGTCGGAATTATGTGATCTTAGGCTCGTTGGATTCGTCTCGTCGAGTTGTTCGATTCGAGTATAAGCTCGTTAAAATCGGAGATCGTTTGTTAACTCAAATAGCAGTTTGAACCTTCCAACAGCGCTTTGAGTCCTTAATTTGGACCCATTTGGGCTCAGATTGGGTTGAATTTGGTGTCGTTGGGTTTGTATCTCCGAGACGCTCAGTTTGACTATAAGCTCGCTGAAATCGGACTTCACAAGCTCCCGAATTTAATTT